GGCTGGTCAGAGGCAGGAGCTGCTGTCCTGGGGTGCCATGGAAGTGCAGCCTGAATAGCACCAGCTGAGCCCAGGGCTGTGGACTGCATGGTGGGCAGACAGAACCCGTGTTCTCTTCTTGTCTGTGTTCCCAGACAAGTTGTGGAAGCACTTTGACACAGGAAAGGTTCAGCTTTAGATAAGCCGGATCCGCACCCAGGCTTCAGCAGACAGTGAAGAGGTCAAGTTTTGGAGCTATGCTAGCTTCCAACTCCATTAAACAGAACCCTGCTTTGCTATGGCACAGGCAGGCCCGGCACCTTACCTCCCCCTTCTCCTGACATGGGAGAAGTGTTAGGATGGTGTGAATGTCCTGGTCCCACACCAGGGTCCAGAAGTCCTCCATGGTCAACTTGTCAGGCCCCTGGACAGCCAGATACTCCCTGCTGGAGCTGCAGCCCTGGGTGGGGAACAAGAACATCACTCTCCTGATGGAGAGGGGGGCACAGGTACCCCATCAGCCTAGGCAGCTGTGGGAGATACAGGAAAAGAAGGGAAGCTCAGCACGTCAGAAGAAGAAGAGAGAGGAGAAGAGAGGAGAAGAGAGGAGAAGAGAGGAGAAGAGAGGAGAAGAGAGGAGAAGTGAGAAGGGAGGAGAAGGGAGGAGAAGGGAGGAGAAGAGAGGAGAAGTGAGAAGGGAGGAGAAGGGAGGAGAAGGGAGGAGAAGGGAGGAGAAGGGAGGAGAAGGGAGGAGAAGGGAGGAGAAGAGAGGAGAGGAGAGGAAAGGAGAGGAGAGGAGAAAGAGAAGAGGAGAGGAGAGGAGAGGAGAGATTAGAAGCGAAGAGAAGCGAAGAAAGAGAAGCGAAGCGAAGCGAGAAGAGAGAAGAGAAGAGAAGAGAAGAGAAGAGAAGAGAAGAGAAGAGAAGAGAAGAGAAGAGAAGAGAAGAGAAGAGAAGAGAAGAGAAGAGAAGAGAACCAAGGGAGGGAAGTGAGGACAGCCCAAACTGGGCAGGTGAGGGAAGACACATTCTCAGTCCCCATAGTCCCCTCTTGTCCACACAGCATCATGGCAGCAGTGACCAGTGGAGCAGTGCAGGAACCAGGCATCAGGGAGCAGGGGCACAGCAAGGAAGAGGGAGCATCACCTGCTGCCTGTGGGACCCAGGCACAGGGGTGGGCATTGCTACTGAGGGTACGACTCACCGGGACATGCCACACCTGCAGCAGACCTGAGAAAGGGCCCTGTTCCAGCAGGGAAAACTTCACTCTGGAGCGATCATCTGCAAAATATGTGGGAGGTGCAGGGATCCAGGGCAGACTTGTGCTCACCCAGCTCCTGCAGGCCGACTGCCAGATCCCCACAGCCATATAAATGCAACCCCCATTCACCATTTCTCTGCAAAGGTGCTCCCCTTTACAGTGCTCTTCTCCACCTCATGGATGTTAGTCCCCAAAAGACAGGTCTTTAACCAACCTCCTGCTCCAAGCAGATAGATATGTGTAGTGCAGGTTGCTCAGTGTCTCAGGCAATGGACATCTGCATACCTCCAGGGATGGAGAGCCTGCAGATGCTCTGGACACCTGTTTCAGTGTCCCACCTTCATGGAAATTAATTTTTCCTTATACTGAGTTGGATTACCCTTCCAAATCACCCGCATTGCCTCTTGTCCTTCCACGGTGCACTTCTGAGAAGACTACATTTTTTCTGTACCCTCCCAGCAAGTAGTCAAAATAGCAGTAAGGTCTCCCCTTTGCCTTCTCTTCTTCAGGCTGAACAAATGCACCTATCTCAGTCCCATACATCACGTGCTCCACCCCTGAAACACCTTGGTAGGCTTTTGGTGGACTCACTGAAGTGGGTCAAAATATTTTCCTGTACTGTGGAGCACCGGCCCTGGTCCAGCCCGGCTCCACACACGTACAGGAAGGAAATGGATGCAAGGTGTCACAGCACTCACATGGGAGGATGCTGGAAGAGGGCCGTGTCTGCTGATTGCCTGAAGATGGTGTTGCAGAGCTGGCTTCTTCCTTGATAACCTCTAGGAGGGTCTGCCAGAGTGAAGGAGTGGAGGAAGCAGTAAGCAGGGAAGGGTCAGGAAGAGAAAGAGGAACTGGGGACTCCTGAGGACACCTGGCCTCAGGGGGTGTTATAACTGCACACGCAGAAGCCTTAGCAGGGGTGCTACGTGGCCACCTCTGGGGGTGGGCTGCCAGGTCTGCTCCGTGCTGTCAGAGATGGCTGCATCTCTCTGTAGGAGAATGGTGTTCAGGTAGGTCCCTGCCCTGCACGGGGTCCCAGAACAAGTGGGTTGTGGACAGACCCTGATCAGTGCAGGATGCGTGGGGGAGCTATGTACCTGGGGATGCAATGCTGTGGAGAGGGGATGCTGCCAGGACAGCCAGGCATGTGGGAACTAGGGCATGGGACCCACTCAGGAGGCACTTACTGCGTGTCCCCCAGCCTGACCAGGTGCAATCGCTCCCCATGTCCCCCCAGTGCATATGGCAACGGCAGCACTCCCTGCACCCTGCCCAGGACAGCTCTCACCTCGTACTCCCTCAGGAAGCCCACGTGAGACTTGGCCGCCTTCTGGGTGTAGTGCTGAGCAAAGCTTTTCAGCGGGATAGGGCAGGACCTGGGGAGAGAAACTGGGGGTAAGGTTGAGGTTGAGCAAACTCAGCAGCACCCAGGCTGTGTCTGCAGTGGATGGACAGGGCTGTGAGCAGACCTTCACCCCTCAAATGCTGGGGCCCTTGTAGGCCCCCAGCCCAGCTCTGGCCCATGCCAACCTAGACAAAGGCAGGTCTCAGGTGTAGTGCAGCCCAGGACCCATTCCCAAGATGGGTATCCTGTTCTGCATGAGGGAGGCAACAACTTGACCACAAAGGTAGATATGTGACCTCCAGATGTAGCCTCAGAGACAACGAGGTAGGTGGGTAAAGCCACACCTAGACTAACCCTGCTCCCTCCTGGCCTCCGTTAGGGGGGACAGCTGCCATGAGCCCCTCAAGTTTGAACCTATCTCTAGGGCAACCCTGTGGGTTGGGAAGCCAGGGGCTGATTGAAATGGCTTCCCCAGGACAGCTCTGCAGCTCTTTGGCATTGGCGTAGCCCAGGAGACTGACACTAGAAGAAAGGATGATGCAGTCCCCCAAGCCCTCCGAGTGTGCCCAGTGACTCACATCTAGTTCTGGGCTGGGCTCCCCATGCTGCAGGGAACAACCAGCCCTGGGCTGACCCCCCTCAAAACACCATGTGGGCTGGCTGGCTGGGCTTCCCTGTCCTTCTGTGCTGGAGCCAAGGCTCAAGCTGGGACCAGGATCACAGCTTGCTGCCTGAAGGGGCTGTGGATCAGGGTGGGTAGAGTGGCAGGCAAAACACATCAGGCCCTTACCTCTCTGTCCCTGATAAACCCAGGAGTGGTTCCTCCAAGATCTTTTCCAGGATACAGCTGTGCAGGAAAATATACTGGGACTGGAATGCAAAGGCAAACAGCAATGTAGAGCATTGCACCACGCAGACAGCATGAAAAGGTGGGTATGGCACTGCCCAGTAGGCAGAAGGTGTCCCACATTCATGCCCTAAAAGCCCTACATTCATGCCCAAAAGGCCCTGGCTACTTCAGTCTCAAAGCCCCTGTATCTCTCCACTGGGTCTGTCTGTCTGTCCTGAAGAATAGCACTGACACCTTTTCCCAACCCCGAGTGCTGGGAATATTAGATGGGCTGTGGAGCACCACAGGCTAACGACATGGTGTGGGTCACGAATTGCCTGCAAAGGGCCTGATCCTGTTCCTAGGTGCTCTGGGGTGTTTCTGAGCCTCCTGGGAGGGCTCTGAGACTCTGTATATTGCTGCTGTGGGTCTAGCAGGGCATGAAGCTGCTGGAGACCCTCAGTCGAGCAATTTCCACTCCAGCTGAGCTGCTGCTTTGAGTGGCACTGTGACACAGCGTCAGGTTGGGGACAAGCCTGGAGGTGCTGGGGCTGGCTATCCAGCTCATCTGTCTGCCAGCCCTGCTGGTTTTTATGCCATGGAGAAAGGGGCTTGGGCGAAGAGGCAGCAGAGGTCTTACCAGCGTCTGAATCATCAGGTAACGGTTCATCCGCAAGGCATAAACAACACCAAATGTGTCCACCACTTTCTCCTGCTTCATCTGCTGCAGCAGCTGGTCCAGGGCAATGAAGGTGCCAGTGCGGCCCACCCCAGCGCTGAGAGCACAGACAGCAAGGGTTAAACATTGCCTGACCCCACAGCCGATGGGATCCCCTCCTGCTGCTAGACATGACTCCCAGACGCTACACCCTGGGGCACTGGTGCCAGCACAGCATGGACCTGAGGAGCCATTCAGACTGCCCTGGGTTGGTGCTGACCATCTCCGGCTGCCCCATCCCCTGGAACTTGGGGGCAGGCTGCAAGCAAATGTAATCCTCAATGCCCAAGCAGAAGACTCTCTACAGAC